TCTCTCTCTCTCTCTCTCTTTCTCTCTCTTTCTCTCTCACTCAAAAATAATTACTTTTTATTAAAATATAACTTAGTGATTAAATCTAGTTTTCAATAACATCCACTAGATAAATATATTATAAAAATATTTCAATATCACACAATCAGTAATATTTTAATAATTACAGTCTTTAACTCTAGAATAAGATGTATCTTTTTAAACCTTTCCCTCTTTCAAAAATAATTAACTTAATTTATTTAGTTTAAAATTTTCTAAAAATAAATCAAAATATCATCAAACTTAATCATCGCTAAATATATCATGTAATATTTCATTATTACGCAAATAGTTGTTTTGCAATGATTACAGTCTATAATTCATAACTAACCAAAAATAATTGCCATAATTTAAATGTAAATAATAAAACATTAAAAATAAATAATAACTTACCCTCAAAGATAACACCATTGTGTGTAAACCTATTGATATCGCCCTTCACTACAACAGTGCCGGAGAGTATACGGTTCGGGAGGGCGTCGTTCACAAACACGTGTTGCGATAGTATCCGGTGTTTGGGCTTTAACTGGTATTTCTCGTGATCTATACGCTTATTGGCACCGCTTTCCAGCATTGAACAGATGGTAGAGTAGGGCAGGTATTTAAACAGTAGGTTTGTGTGGCGCCGGATGTAACTGGTGTCCGATGGCTGGCCACTCGGGCCCACACGGTTTGATATCCACGTGCCACGACGTGTTGACAGATAGACCTAGGGCCATTTAAACAAATACAACTCTCATAATTTTATAACTTAACATGAACAGAAACATAAACATATCTAAAAACTTGGTAACAATAGTATCCGTACCTTATCGGACACGGAGGACAGCTCAACAGCTGCGTCCCCACCCGAGTTGCCAACTCCTACCACGACTACCCGCTTGTCTACGTACGGATCGGGCCGTTTGTATGAGTGGGTGTGCACTATCTGTCCATTGAATAGGTGCTGGTCTTTGAATGTGGGCACCTGTGGCTGAACGTGGTGTCCGGTGCAGATCATCACACCATCGAACACATAGTCAGTAACTTTTCCCTCGTTGTTGTTGTCTTTTGCCGTCAGTTTCCATCGCCCGGTGCTCTCGTAGTCGCCGTTTTGCTCCAAACCAATCACGTCGTGGCGTAACTTCACGTACTTCTCGTAAGCAAAGGTCTCGCCGTATAAATCAAAGTATTTCACCTGAAATTTTGATAATTATTAACTACTGTATATAATTATAGTTTATTGTTAATTATACATAAATAATATATTTTACAAAACATATTTAGAAATTTTATTATTTAAGTAAAAAATAACTAGATAAAAAGCATAAATATAATTACCATCTTTGTATTGTGCATATAATTAGGGAACTCCGCGGGCGGCGGGAAGTCTGAATAGGCGGACATCTCTTTGCTTGTGTTAATGATCGTAGACTTGGCGACAGACGCCACGCCATCGATGTCCTCGTCGTGGTATCGCCACAAACCACCCGTATATGAGCTCTTCTCAAACACCAGGGGCTCAAAGCCCTCCTCCAGACACGCCTTACAGGCCGCCGCACCCGACGAACCACCGCCTATGATACCGATCCGGATTTTATGACCAGACATTATTATAATTACTTAAATTTAAACTATTAATTTGTGTTTTAATCACAATATAATATTTTGTGATTTATATTAATTAATTTTATTGCTTATCACACAATAAATCGGTTGAGTTTTCATATGAGAAACACCACCACTGGATCCGATCCCTTATTTATATGCACAACACTTACTGTATAAAACATATTGAATATTATCGATACATAGGCACTAATAAATAACCCTAATATCGCACTTATAATGATCATGTCATGGCCAGGTGGGCTTGATCATTGTATTTAATGATTAGATATACTGCCCAATCGGCAAAAACACCATAATAATTATCTGTATGTGATATCACTATTTATATGTCCGCATATAGTGAATGCCTGTTGTTTTTGTGTCACATAAATAATCCAGAAACTGGGCAAAATACAAAAATAAAACCTTAATCAGCTAACTAATTTGAAGGTTTTAGATTGATTAAATGTTGTTTATAGAATAAGGGGTTATAAATATACAGTCAAACTTCTGTGCTGTCAACCTTCTATGCTGTCAACTTCTCTATGTTATCAACAAAATCCCAAAACCCAAATACACACTACATAGACATAAGGTTAAAATTATCTCTATGCTGTCAACTTCTATGTTGTCAACTAATCTATCATATCAACACATTTTACCCAAAATTTGTAGCATTTCTATGTATAACAACTTCTGTCCTGTCAACCCATACGCAAACTCAATATTCATTATGACCACAGATGTATTTGTCTCAATTAGATATCAACTCATTTAATGATAATTTGAATGAAATGCAAAACCAAGTCTTTGATACAAGTTTTAAGGTCTAAAATAACAGATTATTTCTTTAAAAAGTAAATAACATGTAATTTTACATCAATAAATGAATTTTTAATAGATTTCAATGCAATTATATGTTGTCAACTAATTTATTTTGTCAACCAAATGCCGTGGAACCGTTTTGTTGATAACACAGATGTTTGACTGTATTCATCATAACATAAATTCAATAAATGGACTTAATGAATTTGGGTTAATCGCAGTATCATTTAATTTTTAATATTCAAACAACATCTTGAAATTAAGTGGACTATTATAGCACCTAATAAATTATTGTGCCCTGTGTGAAAGTAAAAAAATTTAATAATTAATTAATGCACAGTATTGAATTATCTCAACCTCTAGAATTATTATCATTTAACGTAAATTAATTGATAAACTTAAAATTTATTACTATAAATATTGCAAAAATTTGTAATTATGATTAAAAGCTTAAATTATTTATTTATAACTACATAAAATATAAATTCAATTAATTAAATTATATAACTAAATAATTATGACAGCATGCTATATATTGAAACAGAAACACAAATAATACAGAAACAATAAATACAGAAACATTAACTTTGGCTTAAAAACAAAAACAATAATTGTGTGATTAATTGTCTTTACAATCGCTGTCCACTTCCTCTGCACTTTCATTATCTTTTTCATCAAAATTTATAGGATTTTTATGATTATAGTATTGTTTTGCCATTTGTTTCAATTTAATAGACATTTCATTTCCCGTCTGATTGACTAATTTGCTGAACGGACCATCGCTTGTGTCCAACAATTGGTGGGGAATGTCGTACTCAACCACTTGTCCCGCGTCTAACACCTGATCAGTCAATACATAGACAATGAGTACAACACAAGTGATGCGAACCCAACCCCCTATCAAACCCTGGCTTACCATCACTTTGT